ACCAATGCTAAATTAGGGACGGCTAGTCCTCGAGTATCTTTGCATAAAATTAATAACAAAAGAATGTATATTTCACTTTCTCGCAGTCTTAAGGCTTATAACGCTAGAAATCTGGTTTCAATACCCGTGGTGGGCACAGCACAAATAGCCCATTGTGTTTAACAACCCACAAGCATATTTCACTTGGTATCAGGGTATATTTTTTTTACAAAATTGGTTTTTGGTTTGGCTCGGATAAATTACACTGTTTCACATGAACCAGCTCTGCTAGCACGTTCCTTCGGTAGCAGCGTGTAACACGCAAAGTGTGCGTCGAAACGCTATTATACTCTTTCTAGAAGTACATTGTATAAGCTAAATTAAGAGAGATATGGCAAAAATTATTATCAGTCTTATTATGACGTTTTATCACGTAGACTTTTGATTATCAGATCATGATTTGTCAACCTAGGCATTACGCACCATAAGATGTCTCAAAGCTGACTGGTATAAATAACGTTTCTGCTAAACTTTCGTGTACTATGAACCTAATCGGCATGATGAAATCTGGAATTGACAAAAAAAGGCCTTGCTGACACATGTTTACAACACGAAAAAGTGTGTAATTGGATACATATTACACACTGTTCTTATTGTCAACTTGCTATACAGCCAGTATAGAAAGATGTCTTTAATACAACATTTTCACATTGTACCACACAAATTACCTGTCAGTAGATAATGATGAATTAATATTAGTAATCATAGGAAAAACCAATGGATCCTCAATACAAACAGATGATCTGTATTGGCCTATTTTGTCAAACAGGCGTTCCGACCTTTAGTCTTCCAACATTAGGCTAAAGAAAGTATGTTAGCAATTTTTCATATATTTCTTACGCCATCTATCGTGAATATTTTCAAAAAAAAAATAATCTTTCATTCGAAAGTCCAACTGTTTTTGAATAAATTAAGTAAATTATACGTTATGAAATATACGAAATTTAGAAGCTCACATAAGTATCAGTTGTGGTTAAATAATACATAATAAGAATTGTGAAACAGTTATCTTGTATATTCAAAAATTCGATTAACGAAGTTCTTTTAACAATAATAATAAAAAAAACTTCCTTCTAAAATGTTAATGCGTACTAATATCATGTGTGTGTAAATAATACAAGACTTGGTAGTTGTCTTTTACTTGTACCCATCATTTTAAACATTATTGTGCACAAGCAAACATGTATATAGATAATAAATATTGTACTGTTCGTACTAGTAAGCTTGCTTACCTCGTAAGGATGAGACACAGCAGCGTAGCGCTACGCTGCTGTGCCTCGTTCTTACGAGGTAAGCGAACTTACTAATATGAACAGTACAAGATTTATTATCTAGCGCCCGATGATCAGACATGTCTAATCATTAGGCGCTATATAATAAATATTGTACTGTTCGTACTAGTAAGCTTGCTTACCTCGTAAGGATGAGACACAGTAGCGTAGCTGTCTAATTATCGAGCGCTATATAATAAATCTTGTACTGTTCATACTAGTGAGTTTGCTTACCTCGTAAGGATGAGGCATAGCAGCGTATCTGTCTAATCATCGGGCGCTAGATAATAAATATTGTACTGTTCATACTAGTGAGTTTGCTTACCTCGTAAGGATGAGGCATAGCAGCGTATCTGTCTAATCATCGGGCGCTATATAATAAATCTTGTACTGTTCATACTAGTGAGTTTGCTTACCTCGTAAGGATGAGGCATAGCAGCGTATCTGTCTAATCATCGGGCGCTAGATAATAAATATTGTACTGTTCATACTAGTGAGTTTGCTTACCTCGTAAGGATGAGGTATAGCAGCGTATCTGTCTGATCATTGAGCGCTAGATAATAAATCTTGTACTGTTCATACTAGTGAGTTTGCTTACCTCGTAAGGATGAGACATAGCAGCGTAGCTGTCTGATCATCGAGCGCTAGATGATAAATCTTGTACTGTTCATACTAGTGAGTTTGCTTACCTCGTAAGGATGAGACATAGCAGCGTAGCTGTCTGATCATCGAGCGCTAGATGATAAATCTTGTACTGTTCATACTAGTGAGTTTGCTTACCTCGTAAGGATGAGACATAGCAGC